GTCAGTGGGGTGCTAGACCCTTGAATGAGCATGTGCACTGTGTGGCCCTCATATTCAAAATGACTGAACCAGTAGAGCAACGAGTCTGCATCAAATTTTGCGTTAAGCTTGAACGTTCCTCTGCGGAAACCGTTCGGATGATCCAGAAGGCCTTCGGGGACAAGGCAATGAGTGCAGCAAAAATAAAAGTGTGGCACAAACACTTCAAAGATGTTCGAGAATCTGTTGAAAGCGATTCACTTTCTGAAAGGCCTGCTACAAGCAGAACACCTGAGAATGTGGAACGTGAACTGTGTGAGGTCCCAAGGTGCCTACTTTGAAGGGGACTGAGGGGTCATTGTCCTATGTACAGTGTTTCTTGTATCTTCAATAAATATCTCTTTTATATTACATGGCTGCGTACTTTTCGAACAGACCTTGTATACCAACTATCACTCAATCTACAGTTACAATGGGAAAGCGCCTCTAATAAGGTCAAATATTATTACTAACTTTTATCAACCATGTGTCCTTGTACTGACACAGGAGTTAAAGTAGTAGGACAATGCTAATGGTGACAGGGCAGTGTAGAAGATGCTTCATGTTCATCTTTTCATTTAATTCTCACAACTTTGATAGATCCTATTCTCCTACAGATGAAGAAATGTGTTAGGTAGTAACTCAAGTTCTGTCACGCATAAGTGCTTCCCGAACAAGAAGCCTCACGTGTAACTTTTTGGCAGTGTGACTTCTGGAAAGTCACTTGAGATTTGGTGTCCTGGTGTAACAGTAAAATATTTAAACAGATTAGGCCAGTTGGAGGAAAGGACTACAATAGAGCTCTTATGAATATAATCTCTTCATATTATTTAACTGCATTGAACCTAGAGAAGGTTTCCAAAATTTGGCACGAAAGGAAGCATCTGTCAGTGTTTTAGGTATTTTGGGTGCATGTATCATAATGAGAAAAAGGGACTTAATAGGAAAGTATTAGAGCCCATAGGGAAAGTTCATATGGAAGGAAACAGCAGTCTAGCAAGATGGGCTCTGTAGCAAGAGCCCATACATGCTAGAACAAGTTCATTCCTATTAACCAATCTGCATGTTTAGCAGTTGAGATCTTTTTATTAGCCTGTCAGTTAAAAATAACTCATTTTCCAGAACCTTAAATAAAGGTATTTAATATTTACCCTGCGGTCATTCTTAATGTTCAATTCATAGAATTGTCCTGGCCTTTCCATCTAAACTTGATTTCTTTTTATATTGTTCAGCCTCATAAGTTCTTTGGGCACTGTATTCAACAAATATTGTTGGCTGGCCATTAATGCTGGGGCGGGGGAGGGAAAAAGGAAATAAGTGCACTTGTATGCGGTGAGTGGTGGCCATTTATAATTTGAGATAGGGCTGGCCAGGATGGACTATATTTTTCAATATAGACCTGAAAAAGCTGAGGGGAGGTGCCAGGGCTATATGTTTATAGTTGAGGGAAGAGTGAATGTGTTTAAAGGTTTGGAGAAAAAGCAAAGTAAATCTGCCCTTAAGGGGAGGAGAATTTCATGTCTGTATGCAGGGGTGGTGGGTGGTTATTTTTTTTATTTTTTATTCCTCTTCACTTCTAGGAAAGCCAGGTTATTTTAAACTATGGTAAGATGGCAGCTTGCTTTGTGGCCTCCCAGGCCTCTGAATGTTTTAACTAGAATGCTCCCTACTGCCATATACATTCCCACTCTCAACCTAACTTTTCTCTGACCACTATCAGCCCTTCTTCCCCCTCGATTTCTTTATTGCCCTGTAATGGGCTTACAGCACTCAACTGTATGCTGTACGGTCCCATGTGTACTTGCCTGACTGCTCCTCCATTCTTTAGGCTCTGGACCATTCAAGCTAAAGTCCATCTTGATCCCCACCATATTCATAGAGTCTAGTCAAGTGCCTGGCATATCATAGGTTCTCAAATCCATCATGACTAGGACAAATGGCAGCTTCATTTATAATTAAATTTAATATCAATAATTGTTCTGTTGAGTTATATATAGCATTCAAATGAGTGGCTTAGTCTCCTACTTAAGGGGGCAGCATAATGTTAAGAGCCTTGGTTGAAACCCCTACCCTTCCATGTTTGATCTTAGACTAGTTATTTAGCCTCAGTTAGGTTCTATGAACTGGTAACCATAATAGCAGTTAAGATTGAAATGAGTTGTACATGGCACGTCTAAGTACCTGGAGAGTAGTAAACATTAAGTCAATGTTACTGGGTGGAAGTACTGCTTAATCATTTTAATAATACTGTATGGTCATTGCAATATTAGAACAAAATGACAATACTGGTATTTAGATAATACTAGAATAGCTTTAATGTTCATTTAGTAATAAAGCACTTAACTATGGGCCAAGTACTAGTCTAGGTATCAAGAACACATCAGTGAACAAAGTGTACAAAAACCAGTGGATATGGTTGGTTGTAACCATGTAACTGGCCACATTTCAAGTACTCAATAGCTGCATGTGGCTAGAAGCAGCACAGATATAGATCATTTCCACTACTCCAGAGCTTGGATTCTTTGGGTTCCTACTGATCCACTGATAGAGGCTTCCTGAGGAAAAATGCTGCAAAGCAACATCGGGGAGGAAGGGGATGTTGTTGTAACAAAAGGCCTCTAGGAAGTGGCTTCCTCAAATGGTAAGTAGTTAAAGGAAATTTGAGAGAAAACACTCACAAAGCCTTAACAGGCCATAGCAAGTTGTGGCAGAACGAGGAGTGCATAAGATAATTCACCAACAGTGGTCCAGAGAACATGTGCCCAGGGAATGGCAATGTTTTCCAAGTATAGTCATGATGAAAGATGTAAAATCTGCAAGTGTTAAAGTCTGACTGAAGGCTAGCAAATAGTTTTCCAGAATAAGCACTGGATTCACAAACTGCTCCATGTTCTACTCCAGAGTCCTAATGCCCCTTGATTCATTTGGCCTGAGGCCCTGCATCTGCCACGGATCAATTGCTCAGTGGCCACGTGTGGCTAGGGGCAGCACAGATGAACCATTTCCATTGCTGCAGTTTTATTGGCAGTACTGTCATAGAGATGACATGATGCAGCCACCTTGTGTTTCAGAAGAGAAAACCTGCCAGACTAGGACCTAAAGATACCAGGTCCCAACCTCTGAAACCTGTAAATGCTAACCTTATTTGCAGACATGATTAGATTAAGGGTCTTGAGATGGGGATTATCTTGGATAATCTTGGTGGGCCCTAAATGTGATCACACGGGAGGGAGAGGGAGGCAGAGAGGGACATTCCACACACAGGAGGTGGCTATGTGAAGACAAGCAGATTTGAAGATGCTGGCCTTGAAGACTGGAGTGAGGCAGCCACCAGGAGCTCGAAGATGCTAGAGCCCCCTAAGGGGGAGGCATTTGATTTGGCCCACTGAAACGAATTTCTGACTTCTGGATTTGAGAACTGAGAAAATAAATTCCTGTCATTTTAAGCCACTGCTAATACAGGCACTAAAGCTTAAGATCACAGACATAGCTGGGGCTAGAACCTCCCCACCTCAGCCTGCCGCCACGGTTTATTAGTGCCTCCTGGGTGAGTGGGAGTAGATCTTGTCTAGTCATTAGTCAGTTTTTAAAATTTCATAGATATGGCAATGGATTTAAAATTTATTTAGACTTTAGTCGTGAGAGACATGAGCATGTGGCAAAAATAGGCAGGATTAGCAAATGCCTCCTAATAAAGCATTATAAAAACTAAAGGATCAGTTAATGATTTATTGGCATGTCATTTACATAGTACAAAACACCAAGCTAAAAAAATTCAAAAACCAAATTAAGACAATAGAAAAAAAATTCTAATTATTATAAACTTTGCCCTGTTTGTCATGCCCCAGAAATAATAGAGACAGTTAAAATTTTTTCATGAACAACCTGTTAGTTTTGGCTCATGTTCTAAGAAATGTAAACTTGGATCCCTGAGAAGTTTTAGAAACAGTACGACTAATAAAATTAGTTTCAGGGTAAACTGCCACAGGGCTCGTACTTAAGTCCTTTACGTTGTAATTTTGGTGTATCTAGGCTGCAATACTACTATGAACAATGGGAGACCACGAGTAGTATCATACTGGAGACTGGAAAGGAAATTGGGCCAAAGAACCTAGGTTTCTGAATGAGTTCATACTTCTTGAGCTCAAAATTGATTCTTATGGGAAGGAACAACACATGGTTCAACTAGCTCCTTAAACAAACATGTTAATGGACAAATATATCTGAAGTCCTTTTCTTTGCATTATTTTCTAGGTTTATCAAAATTTCTTTTATGTGAAACCATTTTCACCTATTCTGTATGAAAATACCTTATCTACAGACACTGACATGAATTACTAACGCTTTTTTATTAAAGTGTTTAAGCAAAACCACCAATTGACTAGACCATGATGTACTTCAGGCTATTTGTGGCCTCATGAATATTCAAGTAATGCTTTCCTTTAGTGAATGCTATTAAAGCTGAAGCCTACGTCATAACTAGCCATACTCAGTAATACACACGGAAAACGTAAAGATCAAAACTCAATCCTTGGCTGGGTGCAGTGCGCACGCCTGTAATCCTAGCACTCTGGGAGGCTGAGGCAGGAGGATCACTTGAGCTCAGGAGTTAAAGACCAGCCTGAGCAAGAGTGAGACCCACCCCCACCC